CTACACAGATGATGAAGCCAGTGCTCTCACTTCATTGACCGGGAGTGTCTAGCGGTTCATTTAAAGTTCTGGGCCCCTGGCCGTGCAGGTAAAGGTGTTACCTGCCAGGGTTGTTGGCCTGAGTTTGATTCCCAGGCTACACGGTGAAGAGAATAGGCTCCTGAAGTTCTCCTCTGACTGCCACAATATGCTATGACACACGCGCGTGCGCATGCGCGTGCGCGCACACACACACACACACACACACACACACACTCATATACTCACTTTTTAAAATTTTAATTAAATTTTTAAAAAATACTCAAAAGTCTTCATGAGTATGTGGTTTAGCCAGATATACCTCCACGGTCCCCTATGCACTCCCCACCCCCGCCCCCAGAAAAAAGCAAAAGGCAGCTTTAGAAAGCATCTTTCACTGACTGTGTGCCCTTGGACAAGTGATCCAGTCTCTCTGAGCTACAGCTCCCTTTGCTGTTAAGGAACATCATTATAGTTAGTGTCTTATTTGTGCTGACTGTGTGCCAGGCATGGCACACACTTGACCTCACGTAGTACCCAGCAGAGGTGGGTGCTCCCACGGCTTTGGAAGATGATCAGAGGCGCCACTCAGCAGTGGGTAGACTAAAGGGCACACAGAGGAGGGGAGGGTAGAGATCAGGGTGGGAGTTATGGAAATCTAACTACGTTTACTGAAGACATGAACTTCTGAAGTTCAAGTGGCCACGTGTGGCTAGTGACCATACCCAACGATACAAGCATAAAGCATGTCCATCATGGCTGGCTACTGCCTGGACAGTGACAAAGACCTTGGAGGACTAGAGTTTTCTTGTCCCATCTGGCAGGAAAGTCGCTAGCGGGTTCCCCCAGCTCTGTGTGAGGACGGGCCTCTCTCTCAGTCTTTGGCCATGCTGTCATTAACCCTCATGTGACAAAGGACACACTGAAGCTGGTTGCATGTCCAGACTCACCTGGCTAAATAGGCAAAGCCAAGGGCCAGACCTGGTTCTGCCCTCTCCCCAGTGTGGATGCTACTTGCACGCCACTGTGAGCAGACACCGTGGGATGCTTAGGAATCCCACATCATGCAGATGAATTCCTAAGGGGTACCAGGTCCTCCCCAGTCCTCCTCCCGCAGGCTGGGGGTCAGGGAGTCTACTCCTGAGTTTGTGCTGAGTGTATGGAAATCAGATAGCTCTGACATTCTCTGGGCTCCAGCTAAAATTCCCTGCTCATCAGACATGATTCTAAAATCAGTGTGTGTTAGTCAAACCACCCAAGCACATTCTTTGAACAAAGGTGCTCATAACAGAAGGAGAAGAAGGGGAGGGAGGGAGGAAAAAGGAAGGAAGAAAAAACACACAAAAAAAATGTTAAACCTCTGAGCTCCTTCCTGTAAGGTCACTAGGAGATCCACCTCAGAGTTGCCTAGGCGATAGACCTCACAAATGCTGGGGTTCTCGCTCTGTCATCTGTAGCTGAGAATGTAAGTATCGTGTCTTTCCTGCCCCCTCCTTTTCATCTCAGAAGAATGTGAGCTAGCAGCCATCAATCAGATCTAGTTTCTGAGCTCAGCCCAGCTTCAAGCTGTGGGCCTCTAGGGAGCACACATTGCCTCTCTGGGCGCTGCTCTCTCGTCTGAAACCAAACGCAGTGAATGACTGTTGAAACGAGATGAAATAACTGTGTACAAGTACCTGGTACATTACCGATGCCTCCAAATGCATTAACCTCCTCCCTCGTCTGCTGAGGCCCCATTCGTGGTCACGTGGCACAGTCAGCTCAGGCACAGCAGAGCCGAAATGGAGCTGAGTGACATTTGAAGCCACTCTCCACAGCCCGTTCCCTAGTTAATTGCTGCACAGGTAATCCCTTGACTTGGGAAATGCTGGCCGTCAAGAACCGCTCCAGGGACGTTTTGGTGACATTTTAGAGAGGGTGAGACAGAATGTTCCCTCTGATGATGGAATCATCCCCAGAAGAAGAGCAGAAGTAGCTACGCCATGGGCCAGAGGGACTAAGAGAAACCCTGCTAGGAGGGGTGGGCTGGCCCCATTGGAGCAGCGGGAAGGAAAACCGCACTCAGGGCCTGCACTGAGAACCAATCTCCCAGCTCCTCCTTCATTCCAAATGACAATTCACATAGACCTGGGGCAGGGGATGGAATCCCCAAAGCTGGAGAGGTAACACAGAGAGCTAGACAAGAGACAGCCCCCATGCCTGGGACTAATACCCATGGGGACCACAAAAGAACTGAGTGGCCTGAAGTTGGGGTTAGGGTGTGACAATAAAGTACAACTCAGTTGGATGCAGGGTCAACAGACAGAGGGGGACAAGAGAACACCCTTCACAGGAAAGGATAGAGGTGACGCAGGCATCTGAGCAGCGTGGTCCAGTCTCTGAGGCTGGCTACCCTACAGGTCCTTGCTGACATCGCCTCAGCCTGGGCCGATCAGAGGAAAGGGCAGGAAGATGGTGGGCTTCACAGGCAAGAGATCAGGTTCTGGAGTCAGGCACAAGCCTGTGGTTGAGGACCACGTGGTGTGAGCTCACGACTTCCTGTACATGGACCTCAGTTTTCTCGTGCGATTCTTGTTTTGGTGATGCTGGTGGTAGTCATGGTGAAGAGGGGAGGAAATGGTGGCGATGGTGATTATGGTGTTCATGGCTATAGCAGCAATGATGCTGGTGATGACCATCATGATGGTGATGGTTTGGTGAGGAGTGTCTTAGGATTTCAATTGCTGTGAAGAGACACCATGACCAGGGCAACTCTTATAAAGGAAAATACTTAATTTGGGGGGCTTACAGTTCAGAGGTTTACTCTATTATTGTCAACGTGGGAAACATTATAGTGGCATGCAGCCAGGCAAGGTGCTGGAGGAGCTGAGAGTTCTATATCTTGATCCACAGGCAACAGAAAGTGAATTGTGACACTGGGCATAGCTTGACCATAGGAGACCTCAAAGGCTACCCCCACAGTGACACACTTCCTCCAACAAGGCCACGCCTCCTAATAGTGCCACTCCCTTTGGGGGACATTTTCTTTCAAACCACCACCACGAGCTTGGCTATGATGGTGATGACAATGGTGGTCACAGTAGTGATGCTGATCACGGTGATGGTGAAGACAGTTGTGATGGTGAAAACGGTGATTGTCATGATGGTGACAATGGTGCGATGATGGTAATGATGTTGATACTGGTGAGGATGTGTGAATAACGGTCATCGTGGCAGTGAAGAGGATGTGAAGATGTGACAAAGATCATGACAACGGCAGTGAGGGTGTCACTGGTGCTGGTGTTACTGCCGAGGAGGAGGGAAAGCCAGAGGCTTGTTTCTGCGTGTGGTGATGATGGTGGCAGCTGTGGTGAATAAGGACACTAATGGTCTCTACTTCATGTGAATGCATGTATGCTTACTTCCGTGAATGTAAGCAGCAGGCTGGAAGCCTGTGACCTTGGCCCCTGGATGAGTTATCCGCCCATAGCCCTGATATAACAACGTGACAGGAGCAACTTAAGGGGGAGCCTGTAAGTCACAGTCCTAGGGTGCAGTCCATCACGGTGGGGACATCAGGACAGCGGGAGCTTGAGACAGCCGGTCACATTGTGTGCACTGTCAGGAAGCTGCGTGTAATGAATGCTGGGCTCAGCTCACTTTATGTGTTACAGTCCATAGTCCCTGGGAACAGCCGTGCCCTCAGCCATATGGGTCTTTCCCTAGGAGGTGACCCAGCCAAGTTAATTCCCTCTCAGCATAGCCAGAGACTTGTCTCCCCGCTCCTGCTGGACTCTGGAGCTGACAGCAGCTCTAGCCTCCACAGCCCTCTCGTTTGCACCATCTGTGAAGGTATGATGTGGTGATGGTGGTGATGGTGGTGGTGGTGGTGGTGATGGTGGCTAATCCTCACCCCTGCCCCATGGAGCATCTGAAGGCTTAGAGGAGTCAGACACACACAAAGGGGTCAGGAGGCCATTCAGCTGGTAGAGTGTTTGCCTTGCAGATATGAGGACCTGGGTTCGGTTCCCAGAAGCCACAGAAAGGAAGGCTCCCGGACACTGGAGATGTAGAGGCGGGGAATGGATGGAGTTTCCTGTTCTGTGGTCCCATCAAATCCATAACCTCTATTCTGTGAGAGATTCATAAAGCAAGCTGGATGACTCCTGAGGAAGAACATCTGAGGCTCACCTCCGGCCTCCACATACTCCTGCACACTCACACACTCGTGAACCACACGCATCATGCCTGACGTGTGTAGCGAATGCTACTGACTCTAGCCGCCATTGTGAGTGCTATTACGTTCATTGCTATGTCCCCTAAGTTGGTGATTTTTATAAAGAAGTCTAAAGCCTTGGTCGAGATCAGAATGAGCCTTGGATCTGGCCTACAGGACTTCCACCCATCCTCTGCCCTGTCTTTCCGGTCATAGGTGGGCGGGGCATACGGTACATACCTGAGGAGGGTGATGATGACAATCTGGGAGGCCCCCAGGTTCCCAGTCCTGGGAAATGGGAGCTGGGGTGAGTGATGTCCGTGTGACAGCTTTCTCCCAAACCTAGAAATGCCTTCCCTGTGGCACTGGGGGAGGTGTGGGGTTCTGGTGAAGATGCGTGGATGTCCCGCCCGAGTTCTGTGAGCCCCTGTCCCCCATACGGTGTGCGCTTCCGTGCTTCTGTATCGAGCCGTGAGCCTGGAACATTGTCCTTGGAGTTAAACACAGACACACAGACACAGAGAGACCTGGATCATTTGTCCAAAAGGTAAATGTCAACTTTATTTAGCGAAATTTTAGGTTTAAATACTTGGGGGCCAAAGGACAAGAACCCCCTTTCAGCCGGGAGTGATATCGAGGTGTTGAGCTCTTGACACACGTGGACCCACAGGTGACACAGAGAGACCTGCAAGTGAGCTGGGGTTCTGCATGGATGCGGGGCTTCCAGATCAAGGCCGCCATCTTGTTATCACGTCCTCACCGTGTCCTCCCTGTCCTTGCCTTGCAGAGACGGGGATGGCAAGCTGCCCAAAGCTCTGCCGCTGGGCAGTGAGAACGACCGAGTCTTCAATGACCTGTGGGGGAAGGGCAACGTCCCTGTGGTCCTCAACAACCCATATTCAGAGAAGGAGCAGGTAAGTGGATACTCTGACAATGCCCTGGGTCCCCGTACCTCCCTGAGGGTGGGGTGAGGGTAGGAGATGGGAGCATGGGATCCCAGAACCATTGGTCTGGAAGCTAAGCCAAGAGGGCAGGGACTGGGGTGTGAGGGTTGGCTTTAAGTCTTGATGTGCCATATTAGCAAGTATTTAGGAACTTACCATTTTTCTAATTTTACATTCCTGTTACTACCAGGAAGGGCACTCATGCTCCATATTCTAAAGACATGGAAAATATAAGACTCTAAATATTTTTTTAATTTATAAATCTAAAGATATTTATAAAAATATTTAAAAAAAGATCTAAAGCCACCAAATATCCTTGCTAATATCTCCCCCCCCTTAATGCCAACTGTAGAGACCAACAGGATTGGTTGCTTTTTGTGCGTTCTAGCATCTCAGATATAAACAGACAAATGGCCCTCGTGTTAGTCTTCCTTCATAACAAATGAGCGTGTCTGCACTTGACCTTGCTTTCTTACGTGTTAATATGTCTAGAAGAAAAGTCCCTGTGAGGGGGTAAAGGGGAGGTGTCTTAAGTGGGGTTTCTATTGGTCTGATAAACACCAGGACCAAAAGCTACTTGGAGAGGAGAGCAATTATTTCACTTTCCACTTTGCAGGTAATAATCCATCACTGAAGGAAGTCAGGACAGGGACTCACACAGAGCAGGAACCTGGAGGCAGGAGCTGATGCAGAGGCCATGGAGGGTGCTGCTTACTGGCTTGTTCCTCATGGCTTGCTCAGCCTGCTTTCTTATAGAACCCAGGACCACCATGGGGTGGGCCCTGGGTGGGAGGTGGGCCTTCCCATGTCAAATACTGATTAAGAAAATGCCCAAAAGTCTTGTCTACAAGCCGATCTTACTGAGGTTCCCTCTTCTCTGATGGCTTTAGCTGGTGTTAAGTTGATATAAAAGTAGCCAGCACAGACAGCCTGGTTCTTTTTCACAACTGTATAATATTCCAGTGTGAGGCTATGTCGTCCTCTATTGAAGAAGTCCTCATAGCAGACACTTGGGCCATGGCCACTCTTTGGCTGCGGCAACACTGTCCCGTGTGGTTTTGTCTAGATAGACACTCATCTGGCACGTGAACGGACTTAGGGGGGAAAGATTCCTGGAAGTGTTGGGCTGAGTCAAAAGTCTTTCCATTTCCAGCCTGGTGGCTGTACCCATCTTACCAGATAAGTGGCAGGAGCAGGGGGGCTGTTTGCCCACAGCCTCGCCAGCTCCATCTGTTGCCGAGTATTTCAGTCCTTGCCAATCTGCCGAGACGCGTGCTGACAGCTGAGTCACTGCCCCTTCCATTCCTTTCGAAGACTGCCTCAGCTTGGCCAGAGACCAGCAGCCGCTTCTCTCCTGCCCAGGCAACTGAGGGGACAGGCCAGAGTGACCCTTGGGAAGAGTCCGTGTCTCTTACCAGTGATCCTCACCCCACAGCGGCAGGAGTGGGCTGACTCACGGGAGGTCTGGAAGAGGGGAGCTGCACCCCCTCTTCTCAGCACCTCCACGCAATTGAAGCCTTTCAGGCCCTCTGAGCCAGGACTCCCAGCCTTTCCTCAGAGGCTTCAGAGGCTGGTGAGCCAAGCTGAGACACAGAGGACGAAGAAATGGGCATGGGGAATTCCACGATCCCACTGGCTGACTCTCCCGCAGCCAGTGACACCCAGGAATGTTTGTGGGGTGAACAGCATTAAACTGCCCTCAAAAATCAAGGCCACATTGGAACAGGAGTGGGTTCAGTGGTTGAGTGTGTACTTAACAGGCAGGGAGGCCCGGGTTCACCCCAGCCAAACACAAACAAACGAAGGCCACACCGGAACAGGGGTCTCTCCTGTTCATGGACAAGAAAACAGGCTACTAGGCTGTTCAAAAATTCCTTCATAAGTTCTTTTTATTGTAGGAGAGAGAGGTCCTAAGAATAGAACCCAGGTCTTGGCATGTAAGCACATAGCTCTGTACACTAGGCTATATCGCTAGCCCTTGGCTTTTTTAATGGATAGCCCAGGCTAGCCTTGAACTTGTAACTCCCAGCTGCTGGGATTACAGGTATGAACCACTGCGCTGGGTTATAGTTCCTTTCTTTATTAAAAATGAAGTCTTGTGTACTGACAACCTTTCCAAGACAAAGACGGACAGGAAGTGGTGCCTCCGGCCAGATCCAGGCTCCACCACCATTTGTCAGGTGTGCAGTCTGTTGTCCTAAGAGACGAGTCGGATTTTTAATTTATGGCCGTTGCTTCAGAGTGTCACACAGCAATAGCACTGTTTCTCCTTGAAACATACACTGTCTAGCCATATGCGAGCCTGTCCTACTAGGGAGCGTCTTAGTCACTGTTCTGTTGCAGGGAAGAGGCGCCATTACCAAGGCAACTCTTAGGAGCGCGTTTAGCTGAGGGCCTGCTTGCAGTTGCAGATGCAGCATGAAGGCAGGCACTGGAGCAGTCCCTGAGAGGTACACCCTGGTCCAGAGAAGGAGAGAGACTCTGGGCTGGGCATAGCCCACCTCCAGTGACACACTTCCAACAAGGCCACACCTCCCGATCCTTCTAATCCTCTTCAGAGTTTCCCTCCCTGGTCCCTAGGTATTCAAATATAGGAGTCTATGGGGCCATTCTTATTCAAACCACCTTAGGGGAGCAGCAGTCTATGTAAGCCAATCTGCTCCCGTAGACTCCCACTTCAGGACAGTCCCTACCACCCAGGACTCTCACCATCTTAGCAAAACCAAGTGCCCATTATCATTCATTAGCACACTGCTGCCCCTGGTTTTATTTTTACGTTTAAGATAGGAGATAAATATTTTGGGTCCATTTTTTCTTACTGTTGTTGCTCATGCATGCTAGGTAGATGCTCTACCATTGAGCCATATCCCCATTCTTTTGGGTTTTTCTAGGATTCATTTTTATTATCTTAGTTATGTGTATGTGTGGAGGGTATGTGCACATGAGTGCAGTATCTACAAAGTTCAGGAAAAAAGTATCAGATCCCCTGAAACTGGAATTGCAGGCAGTTATGAACTTGCCAACATGGGTGTTGGGAATTGAACTTGGGTCCTCTGTAAGTATATTACCTACTCTTGGCTTCTGAGCCATCCAGCCCCTCCCCCATTCTTTAAAAATAAATTTTTAGATGAAGTCTCACTAAATTACTCTTTCTGACCTTTAACTCACTCAATAGCCTGAGCAGTTCTTTACCCTGCCATCCTCCTGCCTCAGCCACCTGGGTAGCTGGGCATATCTTTATTATAAACGATGGGTAGAAATTGGCTAAGAAGTTCCTATGTGTCAAGAAAGATAAGAAATGAGAAATATTCTTACATGTGCAATGTACACCCAAATGCACTGTTTGGAATTGCCAGCCTGCTTTGCTGGTTTGCCACTGGAGTTTGTAATTTCCTGTTGGTGATGACCTTTGAGTTTGGCTGAAGGAGAAGTTTGGGGAAGAAGCAGAAACATTCTTGACTTTTCTAGAAATAACTGGAAGGCCCTGGCAAAGTCTGAGCAAGGGCAGGGCTGTGGCCACTTCTTTTATGCTGTTCACCTTGTTGGAAGTGGTAATTTGCAAAAACTCACCTTGTTTTTCTAGTTAGAGGGGTCCAGCTCAGGACAGAGAATATGGCAGAAGTGATTGGGATAGGCTTCTTAGCCGGTGGGCAACAGAGGGGTGCTGAGGGGTGCTGAGGACCCAGTAAGATGGCCGAGTGGCGCTGTCTGAAAGACTGACCCAGAGCCCAGCAGTGAGGGGTTGGGCCCACTCTACCCCTCACATCGGATCCTCAGAATCCATGACCAAAAACTCCAAACCATTGATCTAACACGATCTTCCCAGATGCACCGACTGTAAAGTCAGACTCCACATTGCCTCCTGAAACAGAGCTGAAGGAACTGAGCGTGATGATGGTGGCAGCCTGTCACCCCAACAACTCAAGAGACTGAGGTAGTGGGGTTGCAAGTTCAAGGGCAGCCTGGGTTACATAGTGAGACCCTTTCTCAGAAAAGGGGCAATGAGCACCCTGAGCACCCTGGCTATAACCGGCACAAGAGGGTGCTTTCCCAGCATTCACTTGGTTCTGTGGTCAGTCCTCAAGACAAAGGGAGCAAGTGCTTTCCTTGAGACCCAAGTTTAGGGTGCATTTGCCAGATCCAGAGATAAGGAGGTAGCGCCGTGTCCTGTCAGCCTCTCATCCATGCCCCCTGGGCCTTCATGTGGAGGCAGTCAATAGAGAACTGGTCTTGTCGGATGTGGACTGTCTCCCAGAGGCGACTCAAACCGTCCTCCCGACACTGCTAAAGCCCACCTCCTTCTCCCCGGAAGCAGTTTGCTTTGCTCTTTCATACTTTAACCAACAATTTATTATTTTAATTTTTTTTTGAGAATTTCAAACAGGAGTGCTGAGCTTATATCATTTCCTGCCCTCCTTCTCCCCGCTCAAACGCCTCCCGTCTCCCCCACTCCCGAGCCAATTCATGATCTCTTCTTTAGTCATTCTTTGTGTGAGTGTGAGTGTGTGTGTGTATGTGTGTATGTGTGTGTATGCGTGTGTATATGTGTGTATGTGTGTGTATGTGTGTATGTGTGTGTATGTGTGTAT